CATACATACATACGCGCACATACATGAAAGCGACTTGAACTATGCTTAAGTGTCAGGCGTACAGAGGACCGCATGCTTAGAATCACGAAGTCGCGAAGCTTCATTCTGCTCATTTCAGCTACGCCTGCGGCGCAAGTGCATTCTCTTCGTTGGCTTTCCAGATGTTTCCGTTTGTCTCAGCAAGAGCAATTCTGCTTTACCTTAGGCTTGCCAAGTAGAGCCACCGTGAGCTTTGCAAATCGACTTTACTTCCGGGCGGTTGGCGTTCCAGCGCTGGGGGGATGGTCAATGCCTGACAGTTCTCTCGGACTCTGGGGCACATGTGCATTGACCTGAGGAAAAAGCTCATGCACATCTCGTCGCTGTACAGAGAAACGCAGGTGGGCTTGGCCGCCCGTGCACACGTGAGTGTCGTTTTGCATCGCCTGAAGTACTGTCAGTCCGAGCTTGGTTGACGGGGTGGATCGGTTAGCGTCTCTAGATACAGCAGGCACCTGCCTTGAGAGAGATGCGAGAGCAGTCGAGTAGCTCTCCTTCTTCGTGGACGTCTCGGGACGTGAAACCCGTGCGCCTGACCCGAGACCCTCAGAACTCCATGCTTGCATTCCCAAGCTTCGCCACACATGCTTGGCAGACGGATGCGCACGGCATCGGCTGGGAAACAAAGTCTTCGCACAGCCCGGGACTCAGGGCCGAGACATGCTCAAGCTCTGATGTTGGGGGCGCGAAGGTTGTGTGTTTCCTCATGAAATGCCATCTTATTCAAATAAAGATGTGCTAGACATGCTCGCTGTCAACAATTTGGTGGCGCAGGTTGTAAGACGCTAGACTCAATCCAGGACATCTGAGCCATCAACTTCATCAAAGGGTCACCAAACAACTAGCTCACGGTTTTGTGTGCTGGCAAGTAGAAGCTGTGTGAGGCTGGTCTGCCATGGTGAACCAGGCCGTGTGGGGGGAGAGCTGGTCTTAGCGTAAGTTTGAGCTGAAGGCCTTGACGGTTCGAGCAGACTGGGACTACCTGGCAGTGAAATATTCCGCCGACGGGATCTGGGTTGCAGGTAAACGACTACATCAAGTCATTGAACTGGGGGACCAAGACGGACCTGCGCTCCAAGAATATCAAGTGCCGCAAGCTGCTGCTCGGTATCCCCTGCTTGCTGGAAACTTGCTTTCACCCCGTCGATCACCTTGTTCGCAGTCCGGCTGAGTTCCGGGAGGTACTACAACTCCTTTGCAACCTTCAAAGATGCGCACACCATCTCCTTGGACAACGGCAAGGGGAAGAAGGAGGAGGCAGGGTCCGGCAGGGTTTCTTCTGATTCTGAGTCCAGCACAGATGTAGCTCGGAGGAGACAGGTTGCCAGACAAGGCATACAGAGCTACAAGAGGACTAAGAACCAAGAGCAGCAATGAGCATCAGCATTCCAAAATCTGCGTCACGCCTTGAGCCATGCCATGCTGCTGCACCTATCCCATCAAAGCGGCCCAACCAACAAGAAGCGAACACCTCACCCCTGCAGGTATCTGCCAAGTACATCCTCATAGCATGTGGCGGCCGGCCAGCTTACGGCGATGTCCCGGGCGTCAAGGACCCGACATGCTAGTGATCATGAGCCCAAGGCTTCCAGCGGTTTGCGTGTTCTCCTGCATGGTTTACGGAGTCTTCGCAGTTCATGAGTTGGACCTTTGGTTGGGAAGGGCATTTTAAATGTAAGCGAAAGCAAGACGAGCCGGCGCAAGGCAAGGTTGATGTGGCGTCCGGTTGTTACCAACGGAAGATGTCCACCACATCCCCGCCACAAGCTCCGAAGTTCCCAAAACTGCCCTGAGACCGCTGGATCCTCGGCCTGGAAGTCCTGAGTCCCCCACGGCAAAGCCACCCAATGCATGTAGTATCATGTAGCAAGACTAGGAAGTCTCCAGGAGTGCTGCATCAGCTCCGACGACATCTTTTGGCAGAAGAAGGCCGTCCTACCTGGTCGATCAGGGGTGTGAGCGCTGAAGTCGAAACTCCAGACCTAGGGTCATTGCATCCTTGTTGGCTTGCTATCGTCGCGTCAAGACGGTTGCCAAGTGCGTCTCGGGTCACGCAGTTTTTTCGTTGCCTTTCATCCGCGCCTCTGCTTGCTTCTCGCGACACTACCAAAGGGCAGCTAGAGATTGCAGATGCCCAAACCCAACACCAAAGCCTCCAGACATCTCCAGACAGCCTGTCTAAGCTTTGAGAAGCACCGTCTGAAAGCCGCGAGAAGACTGGCTGATATCGAAGTCTTGGACTTGACAGGCGCCTGGGAAGACCCTGGTCATTGGAGCCTCCTACATTGCCCTAGAGTCTGCCCCCCCCCCCCCCCCCCCACCTCCCTGCTGTGCATCGGCTCAGGGGTCTCACAGGACCGCTAGTGGGTTGTGAAGGCATGCTATCGAAGCTATCGAAGGAAAGATATCTAGGGAATGTGGAGCATGATGGTCAGCGAGCCATGTGTGGTGCTTCGCAGCCAAGTGGCTCTCAGTCTCTGACAAGTTCGCACGCGACACCCGGCGCACCTCGCCCAGAACAGCAGACGCGAGTGAAGAATCTGGCTGCTACACTTGTACTTAAAGTGCTAGACAGTTGGGCACAGTCTCGAAGCTACTGCATATGCTTGGTACAACCCAAGTTCGAAAGTGCATACATGCTAACCATCTCAATCGCACGTAGCTAGATGGTACGTCCCATTTCTCTAGACCCAACAACCTTCTAACCGTCCTAATCTGCTTCAAAGACGTCGAAGTCGATACACCGCGGTGCCGCGGTACAGGCGGCTTGCCAGCAAGACTCTACCCGGTCTGGGTTTAGGTCAGGTTTTCGGGGATTGGGCTCACAGGGCCAGGGCTCACAGGGCTCAAGAAGTGTGAATAGGAAGCTCGGAAGCAAGGGCTGGCGATTGTTGAAGAGGTCATGGGTTTTCGGGAGCGAGAGTTTCGCAGTACTCATCCAAAAGCTTGTTTTCCTTGTGGTAGAGCCCGTGGCGGTGCAGTGTATCAGCGCTACCTGCATTGGCTTCGACAGATACGCAACCGCAAACTAGAGTCATATACCCCAATTGGAATCCGGAGGTTCCCACGAGGATCACCTCCGTTCATTCACCTCCCTGCGGATGCCAAAGCCACAAACCCTCAGCATCTGACACCCAAACCCTCCGAAACCCTAGTCGAAACTGCATGGAGACCACTAAGCCCAAAGCCCCTAAGCCCTAAACCCTAAACCCTAAACCCTAAACCCTAAATCCTAAACCTCAAACCTCACCTCCTCCAGTCTCATCTTTCTCAGGCTTCCCTGCCAAAATGGCGATCTCCGGCCTGGATCAGGTCAGGGGCTTTCGCAAGTTGAATCAGGTTTTGGGGAATGTTATAGAGCATACTAGAGCGGTTTAGGATCCTTATCCTTATTATTCTTATTGTTCTTGAAATTATTATCGTTATTCTGATTATAAAATTGAATTATGTTTATCATGATTTTTTTTATCCTTATTTATCATTATTGTTATCGGGTTTGAAGCTTGCCGGCAGGGTTGTGTAGTGCAGGGTTGCAGAGGTTTAGGGTTCTAAAGAAGATCATGAACCCTGAAGTTTAGGGTTCATGATCTTCTTTAGGGTCTGGGTTGGGGCCTAGGGCGGTCGAGGGCTGTTGGGATTCAGCGTGACGGGTTTTCGGTTTTCGGTTTTAATTGTAGTGCTATGTCAATGTAAGTAGCCTTTTTTTGCTTCAGCTTCAGATTTTCTTGTTGACTTTTTTGGGCCAGGGTGTTCGCTTTCAGGCTCTCAGGGCTTCAGAGCTAAAAGGCTTTGTGACCACGGAGTCCAGGGTTGAGATTGGGTCGTTAAGGATTCAAGGCTCCGGATCTTTACGCGCTGGGTTTCTAGCGTTCTCAACCCAAGCCGGAAAGGGAAGGCTGGGCAGCGTTTTGTTGGGCGAAAACGTTGTGATACTAGCAAGAACATGAAGTATGATGGTGGTTACGCGTGCTGGTGCCTACCAACTAGCACCCCTTCGGAATCACGTGAGAAACGCCCTGCGTACCTGTTCTCTGACGCTAATCTCTTACATGCGGTCGTTTCTGACATTCTTCCCTGGCTTCGTATGTTCTCATACATCGTTTCTTACATCAGGCGGACAGTCGGTACGTCGATCTATTCTGATCTTGCGGTCATTGTGGTCATTTTGGAAGTTCAATCTTTTTAGAGATTCTTTGTATGATGCCGTGATGATCATTGCTCCCACTGTTATAGTACATGTTCTTGCTGCTGTCACCACCCCTGCCTCGTAAGCCCAGCCTCGCTATCACGAAGCTCTGAGCCCAAGCTTGGGCCTGAAGCTCCACTCGCAGACTCTGCAAAGCGTCGCGACCATCGGTGCCAGGAGCTCGATGCGCGTCGCCTCGAGAATGCCATGTGGCGGCCATGCCCCCAAACGCTTGAGAGCCTTACAAAAAGGGTCACTGCATCGTCAGCCTCACGGGCACTTGGCTTTGTCTCTTTTCCCGGCATCAGAGGTCATGGATGCAGGAGCAGGCCTCTTCGAACAAGGCTGGCGCAGATCTAATGCTGCTTTTAGAGATTGTTCCGAGCCACCCGCTGCCACTGAGAGCAACAAGAGCGACAAGCACGACAATCACAACAAGAATAACAAGAACGACAACAACACGAAGAACAACAACAAGAACTGCTGCTGCTGCTGCTACTATTGCTGCTGCTGCTGCTACTAGTCCTCCTGCTACCACAACTGCAGCTGCAGCTACTACTAGTGCTGCTGCTGCTGTTGCTCTGGCTTCTACTGCTGCTGCTCCTGCTGCTGCTCCTGCTGCTGCTGCTGCTCCTACTACTACTACTACTACTACTACTACTACGACGACGACGACGACGACGACGACGACGACGACGACGACTTGCATAATACTACTGCTGGTACTGCTACTGCTGTCTTTGGTACTATCAATTTTGCTCAAGCTTTTTTCCTGCTCTAATTCTTGCTTTTGCTCCTACTATTACAAATGCGGCTGCAGCTGCTGCTGGCGCTGGGACGACGACGATCATGATCTCGTACCAATCTGCATCCTAGCCACGGTGAGCGGTGATCCGGAAGTCTGAGCAACTCATTCTGCAACTCTGTCGGCCCAAGCCTGCGAGGTTGATACGGCCTAGACTGTTGGGTCTGGGTCCGTGTCGTATTCGGATGTCCATGTCAGAATGGAGTTTGCTGTTGCATAAGCTGTGCTCTTGAATTGATCTTCACGGTTTCAGGTAGACAAGGCAGCACTCGGTGACACAGGAATTCATAACATATCTCTTCCATCTTGAGCCCTACACCGTAACATCTAGGCACGACTGGTGTCTCGGCACCCGACCGGCGCATGACGCGGGCAGCATTTTGAAACGAATTCGAAGGCCCCTGAGCTCTGTGGATGGTTTTGCTGTTGCTCTTGTTCTTGTTGTTGTTGTTGTTGTTGTTGTTGTTGTTGTTGTTGTGGTGCGCCGTTGTTGTGGTTGTGGTGCGCCGTCGTTGTCGTTGTCGTTGTCGGTGTTGGTGGTTGTGGTGATGCTGGTGGTGGTGGTGCTACTGCTGCTGCTGCCGCTGCTGCTGCTGCTGCTACTTCTGGTGCTGGCCGTTACCCCTGCCGTGGCTGATTCATCTTTTGCTTCTGAAAGACACACTCCAGGCCACGAGCATCAGTGATTCTACAGATCTCGGTGACGCCCTCGAAACCCTCGGCCAAAAGGGCAAAGCCTTTGTCGTGGTATTCTACTCTAAACCGAAATAGGTCCAAAGCCAAGAACCTCCTCTATCACAGCAGCTGGCTCCGAGCCAACATGGGATCTTTGTAACAACTAGTAACTATAGTATGCAGACGGCGTGTGGTGGACAATGCGAAGTGACCCAGGCCATTCGGCCCCTCCGGTCTCGATGGTCTACTTCGGTTGCTTGGCATGCAGACAGGGGCCTCGCACAGGCAATTCCGAGAAGATTGAGCTGCACAAACACGGACGTCACGTTTCCGCCATCTCAGAGTGCGAGCTTTGTGTGAGTACTGCAACAGAGGCCCGGGCAACAATCAGTGGCAAAGTTTCAGAATCTTCGTGGTTCACATCTGTTTGATGCCACCGGTCCCAGCGATAAGTTACAAAAGCCTGCAGTGCGATGATGAGCACGAACACTGTCCGTGTCGCGCGTGCGATTGCCTGAGTGGTTGAGTCAGTGAAGCGCCGAGGTAGCATAAAGAAGCTGCAAAGGGCAGAGGCAGCGCGACTAGCTGCACGGTCCAGAGCCCGAGACTTCGTCATCTGTTTAGGACCACTCGAATTGGAGCGTCCTGAAAGGAGGCCAAGTACGAGGATGACCATTTTTCCACCGCAGATGATACTATCATTGCCGATAGAACTCTAACACTGCCATTCGGATGTTTCCACCCTTAGACTGCCTTAGACAATGATAACTACTACCACATCGCTGTCCCTGCGTGAAGGCCAGCATGATGTAGTGCCAGTAGATGCCAGGGCTACGGTCGATGAGTACTTATCCATAGAAGCAACATCTGCAGGTTGCGGCTAGTGGTCTTACAAGTATTTT